ATTGGGCTACAGTTCATGGGATCAAAAAAGAGTTGGACACAGCTAACTGACTGAACAACAACTCAACTTTTAGACTGCACTTTTTTTTTTTTTCAGCTGAAACCCCTACCAGCTTTATTGAGATATACATGCATGTTAAGTTGCTCCAGTAGTGTCAGTTTGTGTGACCCTATGGGCTGTAGCCTGCCAGCCTCCTTTGTCCATGGGATTCTCCAGACAAGAATACTGGAGTGGATTGTCATGCCCTTCTCCAGGGATCTTTCTGACTCAGGGAATCAAATTTATGTCTCTATGTCTCCTGCATTGGCAGGCAGGTTTTTTACCAGTAGTGCCACAGGGAAGCCCTTACTGAGGTATAATTGATAATGACAATTATGCATGTTTAAAAGATACAGTGTGATGGTTTCATGTATGTACACACTGTGAAATGATTACCACAGTCAAGCTAATTAAAATATCTATGGGACTTCCCTGGTGGATGAGTGGTAAAGAATCTGCCTGCCAGTGTAGGAGACACAGGTTCGATCTTGGTCCAGGAAGGTCCCACATGCCATAGGGCATGTGGTGCACGGGCCACGACTACTGAGCCTGTGCTCTAGAGCCTAGGAGCCTCAACTACTGAGTCCATGTGCTGCAACTGCTGAAGCCCACACACCTAGAGTCTGTGCTCTTCAACAAAAGAAGCCACCAATAATAAGAAGCCACAACTCTGCAACCAGACAGTAACCCGTGCTTGCCACAACTAGAGAAAAGCCGGCACACAGCAACAAAGACCCAGTATAGCCAAAAACAAATAATAAATAAATAAAATTATTTTTAAAAATCTATCTTACATAGTTATCTTTGGGTGTGTGTGTGTGTGTTGTAAGAACGCTTAAGATCTATTCTCTTAGCAAGTGCCAAGTCACCATGCTGCACATTAGATCTCCAGAACTTAGTCATCTTACAGTGAAAATTTGTGCCCTCTGACCAACATCACCCCCTCCACACCTCCCAACCCCAGTCACAGGAGGTTTTTCTTGCCTGTTTTTTCTTTTTTTCTGTGTATGAGTCACACTTTCCTGTTTCTTTGCATGTCTCATGATTTGGGGTTGAAAACTGAACATTTAAACAAATTATCACTGCAATTCTGGATATTGATTCCTGCTCTTTCATCTTACCTCCCAGCATTTGTTGTTTTTGTTGTGATTTTCTGTTTATTTGTTTAGTGAATTGGTTGGACTACTGTGATAGGGACAGAGTAAAGGGACAAAGTAGGTGATTAGTTAATCCCACTAGAGGATTGTAAGTGGAAAAAAATATGAGACCCCTTAAGCTAATGATTACTCAAGAAAGCAGGTTTGCTTAATCACAAAACCAAGCAGGCTTGCTTAGCAACAAAACCATGAAACAAAAGCATGAGACATGCCCCCGAACAATAAAACAATGGTGGCATGAGACCCACAGCCTACCTGGTGAGCTCAGTAAATGAATGATCCCTAGGACATGTGCTCTGCACACACAAAAACAGTAATTTGTGAGCCTAGCTTGACCATGTAGGAACAAGAAAATTCCCCTGGTCAACTGGAGAAGGAGCTGATGACAGAAGCATGATGTCTATTCAAAAAAGACCAAGAAGTTCTTCTCCACATCCCCACTTTTCCTTTGATTATAAACCTGTAGCCCCATAAGTTCTCAGGGCATGGTACCCACCCCCCCATCCACCTACTTGTAAGCCTCACAAGCATCTTATTAAAATACATCACTTCTTATCTATCACTCTGCGATATGTGCTCAGTAATACAGCTGTGTCCAACTCTTTGCAGCCCCATAGACTATAGCTCACCAGGCTTCTCTGCCCATGGAATCTTCCAGGCAAAAATAGTGGAGTGGGGTGCCATTTCCTACTCTAAGGGATCTTCCCTGACCCAGAGATTGAACCTGCGTCTCTTGCATCTCCTGCATTGGCAGAGCGATTCTTCATCACTGCATCACCTGGGAAGCTCACCTATCACTTTGCCTCTCACCGAATTATTTTTGTGCTGAGACATAAAGGACTATGGTACCAGTGTTCTTCAGAGCCGCCCGAGATGACACTCCAGCAGTTTCAAGTGTAGTGAAATCTATTTCCCCTGTAGTGTGCTTTGATGTCACCTTAGAGGGCAGTTTAGAGCATGGTCACAGTCTTCCTGGGATGAGAGGGGTATGCCAGATCTTTCCCTGATTTTCTGTGAAACTGTCATTGCACAAAGCTGTGGACTTCATGCTTACCGGCTGATGGTCTCCTGGGCATGAAAATCTTCAGAGTCTGATCCAATTATTTTCAGGCCCTTTTGCAAAGGTCAACCTTCAGGCCAGTCTTTCATATCTGTTCTGCCCCAAGTAGGATTTTCTTAGCTGTTTCTCTCTCTGGGTCTCTCTAGTAAACTAGCTAACCTACAGCTTACAATGTTCCTTGCAGGGAGGTTAAGAGTCTTTTCTTTGCTTACCACCAAAATCTCCATTGTTTTTGAGGGCACCCTTTTTCTTGAACATCCCCACACTCTGTTTAAAAATCAAGTTTGTTCTTTTGGGGGAGAACTTCAGATTCTTATATTCTTATGGACTGCTGACATCCAAACTAAAGCAAACTTTCATTTCATCAACCTGGCCTCTTCAAAGACTTTTGAGTGACAAGCATCTGGATTCCACTTTTGGTGGCATTACCTGTCTAGATTCTCACTGTTCCTACTGAGATTTAGTAGATTTTCTTGAAAAAAAAAAAAAAAGTCTCTTGATTTTCTGTATGCCTTTATGACAATTTTCAGAGATTTAGAATGATTGTATTTAAGATCCTTTTTGCCAGTGATAGTTATTTCATTGGATCGTGTGGGGATAGGTCAGCAGGTTTTCTCCTGACACCGTTCTGGAAAGTGAGTTCTCCACTAGCTGTAGTCCAGCATCCAGAATAGAAAAGAAAATTTCATTTTAAAAGGAAAAATGAGATTCAAAATAACAATGAGAACTCTGGGTCGCTTGTGAAACAGAGCAGGACCCTATCTATGGTCCTTCCCCCACCCCACCCTCCATGTCCTCTACCTGCCTTTTTTGTGCGGAAGACTTTAGTCAAAGAATAAGTTTAATCAGAGAAATTAGAAATATGGAAATAAAGGAAAACAGTCAAAGGAGACCAAATAATAATAATATGGTCATTAAATATAGTCAATGACTTTTAGTTCTTTCTTAAGAGAAGTGAAAGTTACTCAGTCTTGTCCAACTCTGTGACTCCATGGACTCTAGCCTGCCAGGCTCCTCTGTCCGTGGAATTCTCCAGGGAAGGATACTGGAGTGAGTTGCCATCGCTTCTCCAAGGGCTCTTCCTGACCCAGGGATTGAACCCAGGTCTCCTGCATTGCAGGCAGACTCTTCCCCATCTGAGCCACCAAAGACTATAGATAATATTTTGAGCTACATCCTGAGAGCTGTTTTATAGATATGAAAACACTAGGGTGAAGAAATTAGCTACATTATGACCAAACAGTACCCATGACATAAGCTGCCACAATTCTCTGAGAATTCATCTAAAAAAGGGGGGAACAAATGGACCCTGGACCTGAAGATTCACTAAACCTGAAACAGTCAAGATGATGCTGGCCAGACCATCAGTGACCAGTGTGAAGCCGCTGACTGTGCTGTTTCTGCATGTGGCCCCTTCCTTCTGTCTATAAAAGCTCTTGCCCCACTCATTGCCAGGGGAGAGAGGGGAGTCAGCCTTTGGACAACGTCCACCACCCTCCCTGCCCACCTCCCCCTACCCCCCAGGTGCCAACACCTGAAATAAAGCAAACTTTCCACCAATCTGGCCTGTTTTTTGGCTTTTGAGGGGTGAGCAGCTGGACCCCCCAACACTCTTTTGGTAACACTTGTAGTACAGATCTTGATGACCTGGGGAGAAATACTCCATTTTCTTCCTATATGCCAAAAAGTGAAAAAAACAAATGCAGTTGTGTTTCATTTCCAAGAAAGGAGACAATACTACCGAGACAGGCAGGGATCCTTTGCTCAAGTGCTTGTATCTGATAAACAGGCTGGGACAATTTGCTCCAGGGCTTGTAACTGACAAATGTCTCCTTAAGCAAAAAACCCCCACAGAAACTAAAAATAACTGTGTACATGTGCAGTTGGAACAGATTATGGACAACAAGATAAAAAGAGACCAAAACCCCAATTTCTGAAGAGCTGGGAGCAAATGTAGGGTATATGCATGGCCCCTGCACTCACCACCACTAAAGGGGTGGGCAAACCACCTAAGTAACCCCTCTTGCCTGACCCCTGGACACACCCCTACCATCACCCCATGTAAGGAACCAGCTCGCCTCCCCTGAGCGAGTAAGTGACCAAGTGAACCTGTTGCTTGTTCCCACTTCCCCTGCTGCAGCAGGGGCCCCAATAAAGCTTTGCCTGAATTTTCTGTCTGGCCTCTGATCAATTTCTACTGATTAAGGCCAAGAACCCTGGTTGGTAACGCTATCATCAAAATCTATTTGTGTCTGGCCTGCACTTTACAAAGTCTAAGCATGTGTTTATTTCCCTAGCTTATTGTAATGAGAGAATCCTCAATAGCAGTTTTTTATCCACACCATACTTCAGTAGTTAGGTTCAATATGGTAAACCTCTTAAATGGTAAAACATCACTAATTCAACCGAATTCCCAGGTCCCTAGGTGATGTAAATCAGACTCTAGTCTTCAATTTTACCATTGTGCAATGGGGACACGAGAGAGTCAGCTCTTCTTACATACCTTGGCTTCCTCAGTAGGGCCAGTGGAAGTGAGCAAAGCCAGTAATTGCTGGAAAGAATGTAGGGCCCTAGTTCCTTCAGGCACTCTGTCGTCTTTGTCTGGGAAAGTGCAAGGCTTTGCCTCTGCTGCCATTGGCTGCTCCTCCCAGCCTGGAATTATAAAGCCGGGATCTCAGAGGCTCTTGAGGCTGTGGTTCAGTCCTGCCTTCTCTAAGTCTTTGGGGCTGAAGCCAGATCCAGAGATGGCTAAGTGCCTCCTGCTACTGCTGCTGGCGGTCCTGTCCTCACAGCTCGGACTACTGCAAGGTGAGCTTCCCTGCTCCCCACACCGCCCCCCTAGCCCCCAGCATGTAGGAGAACAGAGGGGAACCTGGGTGAGTGGCAGCCTATGGTTCTAGGCATTGCCTGTCTCTTCCACTCTTTGTCTACCTGCCTAGACATTAGAATGTCCAAGAGATAAGATTACCATTTACCCTATAATCTGGGGCATTCTGCTTTTGTAGGAATTCATTTCAATATCTTTTTTGCTTGAAAGTCTGTTTTTCATAATTTCAACTGGTTAAACATTTTTGAAAGCTGAAATACTTGGGTGCTTCATTTGTTGACCACTTGAAGATGTTAAACTGTTGGGGTTATACGATAGAAACAGGATGGATCCTCACCCAAACTTGGATTATATGTCAAGACTGAGGATGCCACATACGTACCAGGAGGGTATGAAAAGCCTTATTAGTTATCTCATGAGGCTTTCTTGGGAGAGCAGGGCTTACTGCCAGGTGTCTTAAGATGGCTTAGGGGAGCAGAGAAAAGAGACTCTTGAATTTAGGTGATGGTGAGGAAGAGAGACAGGACGATGGTTCCTGCTTTCAGGTAGGGGCTTGTGTGGTGTGAAACTCCCACCAATATTGAAAGAAGGAGCTCCTGGGGCCCACATGTGGGACACAAAGGGCAAGACTTCAAGGTTGCCAGTTGTGAAACGTCAAAAACTGGAGTCAGACTCTCTATTACAGGACCAGAATGCAATTAATACTTATGGGACCTTTTACAAAATGCCCTTTATTTGTTGTAGAACACTTAGATTGAATCCCAATGTAGTTCTTCAGAAGCTTATCCATTTTCTGATCTGCTTGATGACAGGGAGCAGGGAGAATTTTTGCTGAAGACTATTTTTTATTCCACATTACCTTTACCACAAAACTTTTACAGTTCAGTTATTCTACTTGTGGGTGTGTATGTGCACATACATATAGAATATATATTTTCATATATATAGCTCATCATATATGCTATATAAATACATCAATTATTTTAATATTTATATATTAATAGATATTGTATATATTAATATTTTATATATTTTAATGTACACATATTTAAAATATACTTGCATATACATTTATTTATATTCTTTGTGTTTTCCCATTCATACTATATGAATAGTATATATTCATATACTATCTTGTTTGGACACAGGATACAATTCACAATAATGTGTGCATCAAAACCAACTGCAAGGGCATTTTTTGCTCTCTGGGTTCTCAATTTAGTAACATTTGCTGAAATACTATATTCTACTGGCATTTGTATTTATTTTTCCACTGTAAAAATAAATGAGTTTATGTGCTTTGTGGATTTTCCAATTAAATTTATTATAGCATTACAAAAAGGTGTTTTACCTTCTACAGAATATACTTTCATAGTTTTTTTTTACTCCATGATTGATTAAAACTGGAATGATCATTGGCATTAACAGGCACCACTTTTTTCCAATGTTCTTTAGCAAATGGCATCAGCCTGCTAATAGTCGGTGTTTTGTTTGTTCTGTAAAAGCATAAGAAGACTTGGAGTACAAAATATGAAAAATTAATTTACAAGAGCATACACGATCTAAATGAAAATCCATCCTCTGAAGCTGATAAGAATAAAAAATCATTTGTCTGGAAGCTGATTCCAGGAAATACCAGGAGGGGTGTGGGGACGAAAGACAATGTGCAGGCATGCATGGTTGCCTCAGTCCTGTCCAACTCTCTGTGACCCTATGGACTGTAGCCTAGCAGGCTCCTCTGTCCATGGGATTCTCCAGGCAAGAACACTGGAGTGGGCTGCCATGCCCTCCTCCAGGGGATCTTCTCAACCCAGGGATCAAACCCTAATCTATTATGTCTCTTGCATTGGCAGGCATGTTCTTTACTACTAGGGCCACCTGGGAACACACAAAGAAATTAATAAGCTGGACACCATGGTGAACAAATGGAGCCCATCCTACTGGAAATTGTAGAGGACAGTGTAAGGGAACCAACTCATGGGAGGAAAGTTGGCATATTCATCCACCAATTCCCCATCTGTTCTTGGGAGAAGGATGCTCCCAGGCGTATTTGCTCTCCACTGTTTGAGCTGCTCAATGTGCATGATGAGTGTGCCAGTCACATATGCTGCAGGGGCTGCCTCAGGAGGCTGAGGAGGTTGTGGGCTGTGGGTTGGGCAAGAGGAATTGCACCTGCTTCAGCCAGTGACACATGAGGCCTTTGTTGCAGCTGCTCATATGAAATCATCCAAGGGCAAGGTTCTAATAAAATGACTATAACTTTCAAAAGAATCACTGAAATTCTCAAGCAGATTTGTATCTCCAGTAGGGTTTCATGTGCTCAAGGACATCACAGATCCAGGGGTGACAGTAAATATTGACAAGTCAGATTGCTCAGGTTATACAGTCATCATTAAGTTTACAGGAAGAGGAATCGAGAGCTCAGTTTTTTTATTGAGTGTGTACTTTTCAAAGTTCATTATCTTTGAAATTTTGAAAACTTTTTTGCAAAATAAAATTGTGTGAGTAAATAAAAACATAAATGTATAGTTTTAAATGACACAAAAAGATAAAACTATGACAAGCACATTGCAATGACCTTCCATTTGCTCTGTTGTAGGTTTCCTAGTCCCTGTTTCCCACATACATACCTCATTTATGTGTGCATGCTAAGTCACTTCAGTCGTCTCCTACTCTTTGTGACCCTATGGACTGTAGCCTGCCAGGCTCCTCTGTCCTTGCGGATTCTCCAGGCGAGAATACTGCAGTGTGTTGCCATGTTGTCCTCCACGGGATCTTCCCCACACAGGGTTCGAACCTGTGTCTCCTGCATCTCCTGTATTAGCAGGCGGGTTCTTTACCACTAGCACCACCTGGGAAGCCCTATTTCAATGTACCTGACCTATAATTTCTCACATTTTTGCTTGGACGCAGTTGACTTGTGGCTTCCTTCCCAACTTCCAGTTTCCACCAACCCTGTCCTGGGCCTCTGTCACTCTCTTCTTTAAAGTCTATTGTCTGCAGAGCTGCCAGAGTGTACATGCAAAAAGCTAGTCAATGTCACTGCCTATTGAGAAAGCCTCTGATGGCCTTTCCCAACTTCAAATACAATCTCAGTTCTTATGATGGCCTAAATGACGGTCCAAATAAGATGCAAGCCAGGCTGCAGACATCATTTTTACTCTTCCAGTAGGCATATTAAAAAACTCAGAAATGTGTAAAATTAACTTTAATATATACTTTATTTAACCCAACATATCTAAACTATTGGGCTTCCCTGGTGGTTCAGTGGTAAAGAATTCTCCTGCAATTCAGGAGCCGCAGAAGATGCAGGTTCAATTCCTGGGTCAGGAAGATCCCCAGAAGGAGGGAATGGCTACCCACTCCAGTATTTTTGCCTGGAGAATCCCATGGACAGAGGAGACTGGTGGGCTACAGTCCATGAGGTCACAAAGAGTCGGACACGACTATCATTTCAGCATGTAATCCACATCAAAGTCACTGATCAGCGATTTAAACGATTTGTGTGTGTGTGTGCTAAGTGTTTGAAATTGACTTACAGCCCATCTGTTTGGACTACTGCCATTTCACAGGCTCAACAGCCACACATGGTCCATGCATACCGCCACAGCAGCACAGGTCTAAGCAGATACGTGCTTGTGGTCTGACCGCTATCAACCTCTTCAGTCCTCTTTTACAGTACTCTCGCCCTTTTCCACTTTGCCTATGCTGATGATTCTGTTTCTCAAACTGGCCAAGCTAATGGGAGCTCAGAAACTTTCTGTGCACTTGCCCAGTTATCTTCCTGGAATCAGTTTGCCAGCTACTGCCAGTTGTTTTAGTGGTTAGCATAAAACAAAAAAAATTCAGGTTTGAGCTCAAATCACCCTTGAGAAAGCTCTCTGCCCACCCCACACCCCCCCAGCCTCCTCATGCTCACTCCTCCATGATCCTCCTTCCCATTGTCTTCATGAGTCACCAGGACCTGAAATAACCTTTCTTATTTCTTCATTGTCAGTCATTTCCCCAATTTATTTGTTTAGTGTTTGATAGATAGAATGGATGTTTCGGTGCTCCCTTCAGCACCTTATTTCCAACACCTAGAATAGCGCCTCTCACTGACAGGAGCTCATTGTTTGGTAAATAACTGGGGGACCAGCGACAGCTGGGTGCTCATCGCACGGAGGAGGCAGTGAGGAGCTGTGACCCCGGGCACAGGCGTTTGTCCGGCAGACCCCTCCCTCTCTCCTCGTCCTCGTCTCCCTCCCTCCCGCTGTCAATCACCCTCTTTCCCTTCTCCCCCCTCCTCTCCCTCCCTCCCCCCTCCTCTCCCTCCCTCCCCCCTCCTCTCCCTCCTCCCCCTCTTCTCCCTCCTCCCCCTCTTCACCCTCCATCCCTCCTCTCTCTCCTCCCCCCTTCTCTCTCTCCCTTCCTCTGCTCGCTGTCTCCCCCTATCTTGCCTCACTCTCTCCTGATCTCTTTTTCTTCCCAACCCCCTCTGCCCACCTGTCTTGTCTCTCCCTTCCCTGCCCCCTTTTAGGCTGAGTTCTGGGGTCCTCGGGGTTGTCTCTTCAGATGAACAGGAAGGGTGGAGGATGGGGCGCTCTTCCAAAAGGAGAGCAGCAGATGGTGCTGACTTCTTACTCCAGCCCTCATCCGCACCACTCCTGCAGATGCCATTCACAGGGAACATCTTCAGTGGCGGCCCTGGGGTTGGGGTGATAATCAGCTGGCAAGTGGGATCCGGGGAGCCGCAGTGAAGGACTTGCCCTTCCTCCAGCGGCACCGCGGGTCCCGGGAGGAGGAGGAGCTCTCTGTGCTCAGGTGCAGGTCTTGTGCCTGGGGGCACGCATGCCTCCTCCCAGGTGGAAGCCCAGCAGGGAGTAATCACCTGCCTCCAGAACATTCATCAGGAGGAGGGAAACCATCAGCGCCCAGGCGCCCCTGGGTCACGGGTGCACAGCCTCCTGAGCTGCCGGGAGGCTGGCCTGGAAGAACCTTGTTATGTTGGTTTGACTTTCCAGCTCTAGAATGTTTCCAGTGCTACAGAGTCAATGCCAGCGGGGTCTGCGAGTCTAGAGGAGGCACCTGTCAGACTAAGGAGAACCAGCAGTGCTTTCTGAGGAAGATCTACGAAGGTAGGTGGTGCCTGACAGGTCTCGGGGTGAACTTTGCTGGAGGTTAGGGGTTGACAGTGGGTGTCTCTCAGGACCCCTGGGAGCAGGAGCTACATAGAAAGGGGTTGGATTTCTTTTTTTAACCTAAATTAGTGAAGGAAATGGCATCCCACTCCAGTATTCTTGCCTGGAGAATCCCAGGGACGGCGAAGCCTGGTGGGCTGCTGTCTTTGGGGTCGCACAGAGTTGGACACGACTGAAGCGACTTAGCAGCACCAGCAGCAGTGAAGCATCATCCCCTCGTTCTGGTACTGGGCTGCCACTGGCCCTTAACTGGAATGGGGACCTTTAAGGGAGGGAGAGGAGAGGGGAGGGAGGAGGGTGGGAGGGAGAGAGGGATGAAGGAGAGAGGGAGGGGTGACTGAGGGAGGGAGGAGGAAGGAAGAGAGGGAGAAAGCAGGGAGTTTAGCTCCTGAAGGTAACTGGAATTAGGCTGAGTGGGACCTGACTGGGATGGGGTTTTGGGGAACTAGGGACATGGACTGGGGGAGAAATGGGCAGGGCGGAGCGGACAGTCTCTATTCATCCTTTCTGTCTTCTCTTGTGGGGGGCGGGGGGGGGGCATGGATTGCACTCTAATATACAGAGCTTGGGCTTCCCTGGTAGCTCAGCTGATAAAGAATCTGCCTGCCATGCAGGAGACTCTTCTCTGGGTCGGAAAGATCCCTGGAGGAGGGCATGGCTCCAGTATTCTTGCCTGGAGAATCCCATGGGCAGAGGCACCTGGCGGGCTACGGTCCATGGTATCGCAGAGTTGGACACGACTGAAGCGGCTGAGCATGCAAGCTTGAATACAGAGCTTGCAAAGCTATCCCAGGAGAGCCCACCAGGGTCCCTACCTCCAGTCTCTCAGTTCTAGGTGGCAGACATTCTCTCTTCTGAGGGTATGAGTCCTCCTCCATGAAATGTGCTATTTCCCCCTCATTCTTGATTAGTTGGTTGATGCATTAATCCTGTGCTTCATTCAGGAATATTTAAGGAGCAGTACCCCCAGGATATGCTGAGCCGCACACCTGTGGGGCTGCATCCTAGGTTCTGGGGTCTCACTTGTCTTCTCTGCTCCTCTCCAGGTGGCAAGCTTTCCTACGGACACCAGGGTTGTAGCCAACTATGTATTCCCATGAAGCTCTTTAATCTCAATATTATTGTGGAATATAAATGCTGTCAAGACTCACCTCTCTGCAACAAGTTCTAAAGACAGGGCCCCCAGCTTTTGCCCTGATCTGTTGGATGAAGCTAATTTAGGAATCCCTAAATTGCAAGCCTCCAAGCCACCGCAGCCTCCAAGACTCTCTGATCTGAATGTGGATCCCCTATGAGAAGCAGTCTCAGACTTGATCTGTCTTCAGACTCCTTTTCCTTCACTGCGAGAAGCCCCAGGGATGTAGTCTTTGAAACCAAATTGGGATGAAGATTAGTGGGCATAGCTAGGTCCAAGGGTACTTTCTCCCTTTTCAGGTCCTAATTGACAGTCACACTGATTGGCTGCTTAAAAAGGCAGGGTCTGGGGAAGGCTGAATTTATGATTCTGCATGTTCTGGAGGCAGGAATTGAAGGAGGAGGGGGAGTCTTCCAAGGCTGAAGAAAGTAGAAGTGTGAGGGGCTCCATAAATGATGGGCTAGTTCAGTGGGCTAGGTGTTGTAACTCAAATCTCTTAAGTATCAGTGGCTTAAAAAAAAATGGAGTCGCTTATATCAAAGGGATCTAAGATGGAGCTGGGAGGCATTAAGGAAATGAAACTTACACACATCCACTGCTAAACCCAACATAAACTTTGAACCCAGCCATCCTGAGACCACCTAGAACTTTTCCTCTTTTCTCCTTAGAGAGCATAGCTTAGCAACCAATCTGCTGCCAGCAAGTGACTGAATGCCTGCCAGCACCAATCATAGTTCTGTAATGATAACCTTTGTTTCTTCTCTAGAATGTCTCTGTTGCCTTTATAATCCCCCACTATTGTCTATTGCCCAACCTAGAGCACGTTTGAGTTGCCATTCAAATGGTTGCCTCCCAAAATGCAATTCTTAGGACTCTCAATAAACTCTTTTTCTTATTTGCAGCCTTCTGCATTTTTGGGGTTATTACCTGATAATGGTCTCTGGATGGCCATAGCATGCTTTTGTATTCACAGAATACATGCCACAGGCTGGGTGGAAGAATGGGTGTATTAATAGATAACATCTCCTCGAGGGTGCAAACCATATGAACATACTAAGATTTTCCTCTGGTCTGGGTTGACTGGGTCAGTGGTGAACACTTGCCAAGTTGTGTCAATAAAATTCTCTTTCCTGGCATTTTCTTATTGGATTTTAGAGACTAATTCTTTGAACATGATTAGAACTGTAATATGAAACTCAGCTGCTTTGGGGTACCCATCTTCAGTCACATGATGGAGAATCAGAGAAAGTCCATCTGCAAAGAACAGAAGACTGGAAGCGTGTTGAAAGATGGCGGAGGAATAGGACGGGGAGACCACTTTCTCTCCTACAAATTCATCAAAAGAATAACCGAATGCAGAGCAAACTTCACAAAACAACTTCTGATCGCTAGCTGAGGTCATCAGGCGCCCAGAAAAGCAACCCATTGTCTTCGAAAGGAGGTAGGACAAAACATAAAAGATAAAAAGAGAGACAAAAGAGCTAAGGACGGAGATCCGTCCCGGGAAGGGAGTCTTGCACTGGCGGGCCTGGGAGAAGTTTTTGAATCTTGGAGGGCAACCTGACTGGGAGGGGAACAATAAATAAAACCCACAGATTACGTGCCTAAAAGCAACGCCCAGCAGAAAAGTACCCCAGACACCCGCATCCGCCACCAGCAAGGGGGGGGCAGAACGGAGAGGAGTGGGTGGCATTGCTTAGGGTAAGGACCGGGCCTGAGTGCCCTGAGGATAATTGGAGGGAGCTTTTGTGAGTTACCAACTTAAACCGTGGGACAGCAAAAGAGAGAGAGAAAATTAACCGGCCCGAACACATTGCCGGCCGTTCGCAGAACAAAGGGACCGAGCAAGTCCAGAGAAGAGCTCGCAGGCTGCGGACCGGCCCAGCCCCACCGGAGACTGGAGGCAGGGGGGAGGGGAAAGGGGCAGGCTCGGCCCCAAGGACCCGCAGCCCCTACCGCACTGCAAACAGGCCTCCAGTCTCTAATCAAAGACCTCCTAAGATTCTGGATGGTCGATATCCGCCGGGAGGGTCGTGGCGAGACACAGGGCGCAGGCACCTGACCGGCGCGGGCAGGGACTGGGGCTGGGGACACGGAGGGCAGAAGGCGCGCCGCACCCGCACCCGGGGAGAGTGCGCCCGTCAAGCCCCTGGCTGCCTGAGCCGCTCTGACGGGGAAGGCACAAAAAGCAGGCGCAGCTTTTTGTTCCGGGCTTTTGTGGAACACGCGAGGGCTGGAACCACTCGCAGTGCAGGGCACGCTCCATATAGAACAGCCGGGAGCCTGAGCAGCGTAGAGGGGAAAGCAGCGCCAGTCCCTCCCCACAGCGCGACGGAACTAGCAACCTGAATAAGAGTCCGCCTCCGCCCGCCTGTGTCAGGGCGGAAATTAGGCACTGAAGAGACCAGCAAACAGAAGCCAAACAAACAAAGGGAACCGCTTCAGAAGGGACCGGTGCAACAGATTAAAATCCCTGTAGGTGACACCGACTACACCGGAAGGGACCTGTAGATATTGAGAAGTGTAAGCTGGAATGAGGAGCTATCTGAAACTGAACCGAACCCACACTGACCGCAACAGCTCCAGAGAAATTCCTAGATATATTTTTACCTTTTTTTTCTTTTTTCTCTTTTATTTTCTTTTAAAATTCCCTATTACTCCCCCATTACTCCTTAACTTTCATTTTCATAGATTTTTACAATTTTTTTAATTAGGAAAAAATTTTTTTTTCTTTTTTTTTCTCTTTTTTTTCCTTTTTCTCTTCTATTTTCTATTTTTCTTTTTCTCTTATTTCCTTTTAAAGTCCTCTATTACTCCTCTACTACTCCTTAATCTTCATTTTCATTACACTATAACCTTACAAAAAAAAAAAAAAGAGAAGCCCTATTTTTAAACCAAACTTCATATATATTTCTAAAATTTTTTTGTGTGTTTCAGTTTTTGTTTTTAATATAGTATTTTTAAGAGTCTAACCTCTACACTAGATTTTTAATCTTTGTTTTTCAGTATGTGATATAAATTTTAGACATTTAAGGATCCAATATTCAGTTCCCATTTCTATTCAGGAGTGTGGTGATTACTCTCTCCCACTTTGACTCTCTGTTTTCTACCTCAGAACACCTCTATTTCCTCCTTTCCCCTTCTCTTCCCAATCCAATTCTGTGAATCTTTGTGGGTGTCTGGGCTACGGAGAACACTCTGGGAACAGACAACTGTGTAGATCTGTCTCTCTCCTCTTGAGTCCCCCTTTTTCTCCTCCTGCTCACCTCTATCTTCCTCCTCCCTCTCCTCCTCTTCATGTAACTCTGTGAACCTCTCTTGGTGTCCCTAACGGGGGAGAATATTTTCACCATTAACCTAGAAGTTTTATTATCAGTGCTCTATGGTTGAAGAAGTCTTGAGACTACTGGAAGAATAAAACTGAAATCCAGAGGCAGGAGAATTAAGCCCAAAACCTGAGAACACCAGAAAACTCCTGACTACATGGAACTTTAAGTAATAAGAGACCGTCCAAAACCCTCCATACCTACACTGAAACCAACCACCACCCAAGAGCCAATAAGTTTTAGAGCAAGACATACCACGCAAATTCTCCAACAACGCAGGAACATAGCCCTGAACGTCAACATACAGGCTGCCCAAAGTCACACCTAACACATCGACCCATCTCAAAACTCATTACTGGGCACTCCATTGCACTCCAGAGAGAAGAAATCAAGTTCCATGCACCAGAACACCTAAGCAAGCTTCCCTAACCAGGAAACCTTGACAAGCCAATTGTCCAACCCCACCCACTGGGTAAAACCTCCACAAAATGGAACCTCAGACCACAAGAATACAGAAAGCCCACTCCAGACACAGCAATCTAAACTAGATGAAAAGGCAGAGAAATACCCAACAGGTAAACATGAAAAATGCCCACCAAGTCAAACAAAAGAGGAGGAGATAGGGAATCTACCTGAAAAAGAATTTAGAATAATGATAATAAAAATGATCCAAAATCTTGAAAACAAAATGGAGTTACAGATAAGTATCCTGGAGACAAAGATTGAAAAGATGCAAGAAATGTTTAGTAAAGACCTAGAAGAAATAAAAAAGAGTCGATTAAAAATGAATAATGCAATAAATGAGATCAAAAACACTCTGGAGGGAACCAAGAGTAGAATAACAGAGACAGAAGATAGGATAAGTGAGGTAGAAGATAAAATGGTGGAAATAAATGAAGCAGAGAGGAAAAAAGAAAAAAGAATCAAAAGAAATGAGGACAACCTCAGGGACCTCTGGGACAATGTGAAACGCCCCAACATTCGAATCATAGGAGTCCCAGAAGAAGAAGACAAAAAGAAAGGCCATGAGAAGATACTCGAGGAGATAATAGCTGAAAACTTCCCTAAAATGGGGAAGGAAATAGCCACCCAAGTCCAAGAAACCCAGAGAGTCCCAAACAGGATAAACCCAAGGCGAAACACCCCAAGACACATATTAATCAAATTAACAAAGATCAAACACAAAGAACAAATATTAAAAGCAGCAAGGGAGAAACAACAAATAACACACAAAGCGATTCCCATAAGGCTAACAGCTGATCTGTCAATAGAAACTCTTCAGGCCAGAAGGGAATGGCAGGACATACTTAAAGTAATGAAAGAGAATAACCTACAACCTAGATTACTCTACCCAGCAAGGATCTCATTCAGATATGAAGGAGAACTCAAAAGCTTTACAGACAAGCAAAAGCTGAGAGAATTCAGCACCACCAAACCAGCTCTTCAACAAATGCTAAAGGATCTTCTCGAAACAGGAAACACAGAAAGGTGGTATAAACGCGAACCCCAAACAGCAAAGTAAATGGCAATGGGACCATACCTGTCAATAATTACCTAAAATGTAAATGGGTTGAATGCCCCAACCAAAAGAGAAAGACTGGCTGAATGGATACAAAAACAAGACCCCTATATATGCTGTCTACAAGAGACCCACCTCAAAACAAGAGACACATACAGACTAAAAGTGAAGGGCTGGGAAAAAATATTTCA